CTCTTTGGCTATTTTTCTACTGCCCAGGCAGCTTTTCTGGATTTTTTTTTCCCAGTTTAGAGCTAATGTCCTTGACCACAGTAAGATGATCTGTGGCTGCCTGGGGCCAGGCTGAGAAATAGTGCTGAGAGTGCCAGCACTGGCACTCCCCCATTTGAAATATTGAAATCTTTTTAACCCTTTCTTCTAGTGTCCTGCTATCTTTGCACATTAGAGGCAGTGACTTTTGGCACCTTCAACTCAGTTCCTCACATTTCAGACCCCTTATCATGCAACTGTATAAATGCCTGTACATATAAAATTTCTTTCATGTACTTTACCCCTGACAGACCAACTTCAACATCAAGATTGTATAACCAGAAAAACCATTCAAGGGCCAGATTGTGTAACAGCAAACCCTCTTTCTCTTAGGCTTATCCCTGCCTGTGACCCATTCAGTCAAGATCTCTCTACTCAAGAGACTACTGATAAGATCAAGGCAGTATGACCCATGTCTTAAAGGGCCAGTAATGGATACAAAAAAAAAAAAAAAACCACACACACAGAGAATCACTGAAACCAGGGCTGACAGACAGGAACCTTTTAAACAGATAAACCTGCATGTAGAAATTTATTCCACTTACTTTACCTTTGACAAACTAACTCCAACTGCGAGATTGTATAAATCCACAAAGCTATTTAAAAAACAGATCATTACAATAAAACATTATCTTAGACAGGCTTATACCTATAGGTGTGGCCCTTCCAATTACTTTACTTCTGACATACCAACTCCAAATACAAGATTGTACAAAAAAAGAAACAGAGAGAGACAACCAAAGAGGAGTCCCGAAACCATGGCGGACACATGGGAACCTTTAATTTAACCAGCCAAGATCTTTCCTTATAGGATAAATGCAGTATTGATCATATTTTAAAAGGGACAGAGATACAAACAAAACAAAAACAAAAACACAGACAACCACAGGGAATTCCCAAACCCAAGACCCCAAAACAGATGAGAACCTAGAGCAGAAATATCCCTAGTTTCTCTAGTCTGGTTTAACCATGACTCCTACACCACTGGCACTAGAATGTCCCCATAAAGAGGGACCAGATGTTCCCATGAAGAGAAACCAGATGTGTAGAATCAGGGGTTTCAGCATGCACACCGGGGGACTTACCAGATGGCCATGTTACAACTTTACTAAGTTCAGTTTCCTTTTTCCTTAAGTGGACCATAATGGAGCAACCTGTACCATTCAGGAAGAGAAGTTGGAAGTTCTCCAAAGCAAAAGGAGCCTCAGCAGCTGCTGGGATGGTTCATTAGTCCCTCCCTTTACTCACAGGAATAGCTCTTCCAGTTGGATCCAAAGCAAACTCACCTGTCTCCTACACTTGGCTCTCAACAAGTTCCCCAGCACTTTGCATCCTCAGCATGAAAATAGGGTTCTGGACAGCCAGGCCTTCCCAAGAAAGCTGGAACAGGGTCTACTCTTGGGTCCCATCTGGGTCACTAAATTTGTTGCTGAAAACTTGGTTCTTGTTCTTGATGCCAATGCAATAATGAGGACATGGTTTTGAGAAAAAGGAAAAAGGTTTATTGCTTTGCTAGCAAGGGAGAAACACAGGAGACTCCTGTCCCCAAGGCTGTGATTTTCACTTATTGATTGTTGGTTTTATTTTTTGCACTTTAGGGGTCTTGTTAAGGAAGTCAGTGTAGAGTGTTGAGCCTATGTTTTCTTTTAGAAGTTCCTAGGTCTCTGATCCACTTTGACTTGACTTTTGTACAGGGTGAAAGACAGGGATCTAGTTTCATTCTTCTACATATGTACATCCAGTTATCTCAGCATCATTTGTTGAAAAAGTTCTTTTCTCTGAAATATGTTTTTGGTATTTTTGTCATGCATCAGATGACTCTATATAGTTTGTCTCTTTGTCTTCTAGTCTATTCAGTTGGTCTTCTTGTCTTTTTTTAATGCCAAAACCATGCTGTTTTTGTTACTACAGCTCTGTAGTGTAATTTGATATTAATATTGTGATGCCTCTAACATCACTCTTCTTGTTCAGTATTGCTTTGCCTATTTTGGGTCTTTTATTATTCCAACTGAATTTTAAGACTTGTTTCTAGTTATATGAAGAATATCATTGGAATTTTGATGGGGATTGCATTGAATCTGTATAATGCTTTTGGTAGTATGGACATTTGACAATATTAATTATGCCTATTCAAGAACATGAATATGCCTATTCTCATCATCTAAGTTTTTCAATTTCTTTCTTCAGTGTTCTATAGTTTTCATTGTAGAGGTCTTTTACTGCCTTGGTTATATTTATTCCCAAGTATTTATTGTATGTTATTATGAATGGGATAGTTTCCTGATTTCTGTCTCAGTAGATTTATTATTGGACTAGAGGAAAGCTATTGATTTTTTTTTGTATGTTGACCTTGTCTTCTGCTACATTGCTGAATTTGTTTATCAGCTCTAGAAGTCCTCTGGTAGATTTTTTTTTGGGGGGGGAGGTCATTTAGTTATAGGATCTTGTGATTGGAAAACCAAGATAAATTGAATTCTTCTTTTTCTTCTCTTGCTTGATTTCTCTATTTTCAAGAACTGTATTGAATAGGAGTGGTGAAAGTGGACACCCTTATCTAGTTCCTGACTTTAGAGGAAATGCTTTCAGTTTTTCTGAATTCAGTATGTTGTTGACCTTGGGTTTGTCATATATAGCTTTTATAATGTTGAGGTAAGTTCCTTATATCCCTGGTTTCTCTAGTGTTTTAAACATATATGGGTACTGACCTTTGTTGAAGGATTTTTTTATGCATTGGTTGAGATAATAATGTGTGCTTTTTTTTCCTTAATTCTATTTATGTGGTGAATTATACTATGATTTGTATATGTTGAACAAATCTTGCAACCCTGGGGTGAAACCCATTTGATCATGGTGTACTATCTTCTCAGTGTGTTTTGAATGTACTTTGCTAATTTTTATTAGGGACTTTTGCATCTATGTTCTTCTGGGATATTGGTCTGTAGTTTTTTCCTTTGTGTGTCTTTGTCAGGTTTTGGTATCAGGGTGATTCGGGTTTCATAGAATGCATTTGGCAATATTCCTTCCCTTTTTATTTCATGGAATACGTGGAGGAGTGTTGGTGTTATTTCTTCTGTAAGGGTCTGATTGAATTCAGCTGAGATTCCATCTGGTCCTGGACTTTTCTTTGTTGAAGGCTTTTAATGCTGCTTTAATCTCATTTGGGCATGGTGTGTGTTGGGGGCAGGGGGCTGAAGTATTGAACATAGAGATGATTTACCACTAAACTATATTTCCAGCTCTTTTAATTTTCAATTTTAAGTCAGGTCTCAGAGTTACTTAAGGCTTTGCAAAGTTGCTGAGGCTGAGTTTGAATCTATGACCCTCCTTCCTCAATCTCCTGAGCTGCTTAGATTACACGTATCCACCACCTTGCCCAGCTACTGCTTTAATCTCATTGCTGCATATTGGTCTCTTTAGTTTTCTACACCCTCATGAATCAATTTGGTTATATCATATATGTCCAGAAATTTGTCAAATTGTTGTATATTTTCCATTTTATTGAAGTATAAGTTTTCAAACTGGTTTCTATAATTCCTTCAGATTTCAGAAGTATCTATGATAATATCTTCTTTTTTTACTCTAATTGTATTGATTTGGATCTTCTCTCTTTCTTTTGGTTAGTGTGGCTAATAGTATTTTTTTTAAAAAAATGATTCTTTGTTGTATTGATCTTTATCATGTTCTTTTATTCTCAATTTCATTAATTTTGGCTCTGATCTTAATTATTTCCTATCTTCTAGTGACTGGGGAATTAGTTTGTGCTTTCTTTTCTAGGGTCTTAAGGTGAAACATTAGATTATTTGGGATTTTTTGTGGGGGGCTGGCTTGTGTTTTTTCATTTATTTATTTATTTTTCCATTACAATTCTTAATACACCATTATATCATAATTTATCATATCTCTGATTATGTATAATGTATGTTGACACCAAATTCACATCTCCATACATGTATTTTGTATAATTATGAGGGTCTCCTTTCATCATCCATGCTATTCCCCTTCTCCCTCCCTTTCCCTCCCACCCCTATTCTCTATCTAGAGGTAATCTTCCTCCCTTGCTCTCCCTCCCAACCCCATTTTGAGTCACCCCCCTTATATCAGAGAAGACATTGGACATGTGTTTTTTTGGCATTGGCTAACTGGCTTGTTTGTTTTTTGATTGAATTCAGGGCACTTAACCACTGAGTCACATTCCCAGTCCCTCTACATATTTTATTTATTTACTTTGGTGGTGCTGAGGATTGAACCCAGGGCCTTGTATATCTGAGGCAAGCACTCTACCAACTGAGCTATATCCCTGGACCTATGTTTTATTTAGAGACAGGGTCTCACTGAATTGAGTTGCTTCTTGCCTCACTAATTTGCTGAGGCTGGCTTTGAACTCATAATCCTCCTGCCTCAGCCTCCTGAGCCACTGGGATTGCAGGTGTTTACTATGCCTGGCTTTTTTAAAAATTTTAGACATTAAATTCAATAAAGTTTCCTTTTAGAACCTTCCCAGAGAGTTTCTGTTCTCATTTGTTTCTAAGAGCCTTGCTTTTTCTATCTCTCCCCAATTTTCTATGATCCATTCTTCATTCAAAAGTGTATTATTTAATATACAGAAGTTAAATTGGTTTGTTTTCATCTTGTTATCAACTTCTAATTTCATTCCATTATGATCTGTCTTAACATGTTTTCTTTATTGACAGCTTTATTTTCAAGATCATATACTTTGAGGTTTGAGAATCTGACTTCTATGTGGTCTCATCTATTGGTGATGCTTTCAACTGAATTTTTCATTTTATTTATTGAGTCTTTCTTTGTTCAGATTTAGTATAATATTTTATAATAGAAAGCTGCTGATTACATGCTAAGACAGACAATATGATACACAACCTGGGGGTGGGGTTGGTGGGAAGAGCAGGGCAGAGGCCACAGGTTTAGACTAAGAGCCTTTCAATAGACTGGTGAATGGACTGGATCTGCTGCTTTAGTTGAGAGCCTTCTTTGATGATGACAGAACAGGCAATGACAGGCCTGGAGACCCCACAGGCCAGCCCTAGGGCCTGCTTGGAATGCACAAACACATAGGGCACATTCTTGTCCTCACATAGCAGTGGGAGGTGCAGGATGATCTCCAGAGGTTCAGCATCTGCAGCCATCACAATGAATTCAGAGATGCCTCTGTTGAGGGTTTTGGTGGCCTCATTGGCTCCTTTCTGAAGTTTCTAGTAGTTACATGACTGATGAACGAGGTCCAACAGTTTCTTGGTGAGATGGGCATCATGGATGCTGTCCTGTTGGCTCACCACTCTCCAACAGCAGCCAAAGTCCATGGAGTCCGAAAGCCGCATGGATGGAGGAGTGCAAATGGCCATGCCTATTGAGTCTTTCATTTCCAGGATTTCTGTTTTGTTTTTTTTTTCCCAGAATCTTTCTCTCTTTATTGAATTGATCTTTCATTTCCTGCATTTCCTCTCTTTGTTCATTCCTTATATAATCTTTTAGTTCATTGAACATTTTATCTCTGAACTTCCTAAATTTTAATGATATTTCCTATATTGTGGTGTCAACAGAATTTTGAAGTGTTGTAGAACATTTTGAGTGGTTTGTTCCCTTGTTTTTTCATATTTTTTGTATATCAACCCATCTTCTGGGATGTTTATATCTTCTACTTTTATGTAAGGGACTATTTAATGACCTTCCATTTTTTAAGTGCTCCAGGTTGGGCAAATACCCATGTACTGATACTCTCACTCAACCTCTATCCTCTGTTCTGCCTAATATCAGCATCACTTTGAGAGAGAATATGAAACCTGCTAACTACCATCACTTCAGAGCAAAGCCATGTACTAATAAACCTTAGGGGAAAACAGTTATTGCAAATGGTTTCCACAGCTCCTGTAATCTGAGTATACAATCAGAAATGTTCTAGAATAGGTTGAGGACTTATTAAAGATAGTAAAATTACTATTACACTATATATGTGTTGAAAATGAGAAGAAGAGAAAGATGGGCAAAGAAAAATGGAAGGAAAGAGAAAAGATAGAAAAAATAATGCAAACTAAGATAAAAGGAGAAAGAGAGAGTTGAAGCAGGAACAGGTAATGTAAGAGTTTGGAAAAGACAGACTGAAAGTATAAACCTGATATAGGAAAGGAAAACAAAGACAGAAAGAATGATTCCAGTTAATGATTTAAAACATTAGAAGAAATACAGTAAATGAATTGAGGGCTATAATATTGAATAATAATGGAATATCTATCGATCCAAAACAAAAAATAATATTGGTAAGATTAAAATTAACATTAGAGCTATTTATGATATTTCATGCTGAGGTGGGAGATTTCTTATTAAGTCTTTTTTATTTGGATTTCATCAGGATTTGGGACCTTTAAAAGGTGCCCTCCACTCCTTGGCTTTACCTCTAAGTTTCCCCGTGTATAGAGGTAATGATCATACCAGTTGACCTCTGAAACAATTCTAGGAAGGCTCTTTCTTTCCTTGGTATGTATACTAGGTTTCTGTTGGTTTAGCCGAGATAGTCCTTAATTATCTGTGACTTAGTTCCCAGGTTACTCCTTGTTAGGGGGTGTAGTCTTATGTGCCCTACAAAGAAAACTTCATATATCCAGCACTGATCCAGTTTGGGCTGGGCATGGTGGCTCATGCCTATAATTCCAGCAGCTTGGGAGGCTGAGATACGAGGATCACAAGCTTTATGTTAACCTCAGAATTTAGTGAGGCCCTAAGCAACTTAGCAAGACTCTGTCTCAAAATTAAAAACAAAAAGGAAAGGGATATAGCACAATGGTAAAATGTCCCTAGGTTAAATCTCTAGTACCTAAATAAATAAATCTACTTTGGATTCTCCCACATACAATTCAGATTATGCGGGCATGGTGGTCAAAAGTAGAAGTATTGCAACCATTCAGATACATAAAGACGTGTATCACATGTTTTCTCTTATATGTGGAATCAAAGAAAAGGAAAGAAAACATCACCTTAAAGTAGAAGAGGGACTATTAGGGACTGAGAAGGGGACGAGGGTTGGGGGAAGAAGGGGAGGTTGGGGGAATATAGAAAAAGGGAAGATTATAGATGTGCAATATATTCCTGTATGAAAATATTGAATTCTAATGATTTGAATAATTTGCATTAATAATTATAATTAAAATCCTTTTTCTTCCACTAATAAGTTGAATTAATAATTCAATCAATCCACAGACTTTAAAACAAAAAGTAGAGGTATTGTATTCTGGTTGATGTGGAGCTGGGTGGCCTGCAGTGGGGTTTGTAGGACTGCTGCCTGCTCTGGAGTACACAGGTAGGCAGGTTTGTATCTGGGTACACTGGACAGTGGCTAGTGTCTCTGGGACACTCCTCTGTAAGCCACTCTGTGGGGTGTACTGCCATTGTATATGTGCTGAGGTTCTCTGTTTACTGCTTGTTGTTATTCTCCAGAATTGTGTTCTGTGGGTCCACAGAACACGACCCATGTGATGTTTACTCAGTTTCCCCCAACTTGGGTTATGAGTCACATTAGAAATATTAAAGGTATGAGGAATTTAAGAAATAAAGACAAGACACAGAAATAAATGAAAAGTGGAGCAAGGTGTGATGATCCATCTCTGATATAGACTGGATCTAACAACAAAATGGAGCCTGTGTGCTTTATTTAAATGGGTAGGAACACCAGTGAGATTCAGAGTGAAAGACTTCCTGAGGAAAACAGGAAGAAGATGGTAAGGACAACTCGGTTGGAACTTAGGAGGTTAAGCCCACCTCCTCTACTTTCAGTCTGCTATGTTTGAACCTAGGCTTCCTGAGTCGATGGGCCTTGGTGTCAGTATAACCTTAGCAGTCTCAAATCAGTGAAATTTCACCAAGAGTTCTCAGAAAAGCAACCCCCTGCCTTGAGACAGTTCAAACATATAATTCATTCACAGCCCCGATGTCCACATGTCTGAGGAGCAACTTAGTTAACTGTCAACTCTGGGACTCAGCTATGTACCCTCTTAGAGGTGCTGAGGCACAAGAGCTATTTTCCTAGCTGCTATGGTTCTCTCACTAGCAGGTGCTTGCTAGTCAGCCCAGCTTCCCAAGTCTGCATGTCTAGAGGGTACTGCATCTTCTGCTTATTTCTGTTGGGTGTGGGGTTACAGGAGTACAGGGCTCAGGGTTATTGCTGACTGCTATAGAATGCAGAGTGCTCGCACCCCTGCACAGAAGCTTCTTCATAGTGGCATAGAACTTGGCGGCCCTCTGCAACTGTGGAGGCTCTCTGTGGGTCTGTGGCACAGAAGCTTTCATCCTGGCTGATGTACAATCACCATGGTACAATCCCTATAACTAGAGTAGAGTGTCAGTTGGCCCGCCTTTATTTGAGCTCCTATGGTTGGAGGTCATAAGTCACTGAGCATTCACTTTGCTCCACTGGGGCTTTTATGTAGTGGCACTAAAGTTTTGGTGGCTGTCTACAACTTTGAGGCCTGTGGGTTCAGGCTATCTGTGGGTGCTTTCTGGCACAGGCTGCTGGAAATCATTGGGTTTTACTCTTGTCACTGTGACAGGTATATGGTGTCAGTTGATCTGTCTTTGCTTGAGCTCTTGGGGAGATTGTGGGGAATGCTGGATTGCGGTCAACACTACCCAGGGATGACTTCTTCTTGGGTCAGCTTTACCCGACTCCACTTGACCACAGCAAGGAGGAGGAACTTTCAGTAGCCTTCAGCTAACAGGGATCCATCAAAAAGCTCCTTCTAGATGGATTACTGGGACAACCCATTTCAGAGTTACTCCCTCTGATTCTATTTGTTGCTAACTGAAGATGGAGAGAAACTGTGTTTATTTAATTTCTTCCAGGGAGGCTGGCCAGCTGTGGACTCTACAAAATAACTGCTCTGCCTGGCATAGTTTTTAGCCCACAAATTGTCTATAATACCCAACTCCCATTTCAACTTGTTCTGCTTTTCTCTCCAACTGTTGTTAAGGATGTAAAATTATGGGCTTCTCTTCTCTTTCTTTCTCTTTTTGTTATCCCTCCCCTCTGTTCCTGCTGCTGGTCAGGGTTCTAGGTCTTAGAATTCTTTCTTTATTTTCTGCTCTGGTAACCAAATCCCAAGTCTTAAGTCTGAAGTCTATATAAATCTTCCCTCCAGTATGAGCTTTAGAATATGTATTCTGTCACTCACCCTTCTGGTCAGCTGTTTTTTCACTGTTTCATTTCCAGGCTGTGGAGGAGTCTAGGGTTGCTGCCTAGATCATTTCTGCCATCTTCTCTGATAATTTATAATAACATTTCCTAATTTTCAGAGTGCCTGGCATTTTCCCTATGATTCTTCCACCACCTGCAAGGCAGAGCAACCTGGGTCTTTTGAGAAAAGGAGAGGGAGACTAGAGATGGATCCCATTGTGATTTTTGAAGGTGATCATTCTATTTAATTCATTCTACATTTACTTTATAATTTAACTCTCAAATTAAATTTTATTCCCAAGTTCCTGAGTGCATTTTATTGTTGCTCCTTTAAACTACTTAGAAGTTTTAATCATAGTAATTTACTTTACATTCCATAAGTATTCCTCATGGTTTTAGATTTTCCATTTATGTCTGTATTAATCTTCCCTCCAGTATGTATTCCATAGTTTGTTTACCTTTTTGCAGGGGGGTACTAGGGATTGAACACAGGGGCTCTTAACTACTGAGCCACGTTGTCAGCACTTTTTAGTTTTTATTTTGATACAGGGTCTTGCTAAGTTGCTTAGGGCCTCACTAATTTGCTGAGGCTTTATTTTAACTTGCAATCCTCCTGTCTCAGTCTCCCAAGCCACTGGGATTATAGGCGTGCATCACTGCACCCAGCTCTTTTATTAACGATTAATAACTTTTATTATTAAATTTCTTTATGAAAAAAACCCATATAATGACTCATTTCTATAATTTACAATTCAATCTTTAGAATTATTTTTAAAAATATACGCAGTCCTAGCCCTTCTAATATTTTTATTCATGTGTTTTAATCTGTAACTTTTAAAAAATTTGTTTGTTTTTCAATTGTAGTTGGAAACAATACCTTTATTTTATTTATTTTTATATAGTGCGAAGGATCGAACCCAGGGCCTCGCATGTGCTAGGAGAGTGCTCTACCACTGACCCACAACCCCAGGCCTATCTGTAACTTTTAATTATACTTTTACAAATGAGTTTTGGGCTGGGATTGTGGCTCAGTGGTAGAGCGCTCCCCTAGCAAGGGCAGAACCCAGGTTTGATTCTCAGCACTACATTAAAAAAAAGGCATTGTGTTGTGTCCATCTACAAAAAAAGATTCTCTCTCTTAAAAAATGAGTTTAGACAGAAACTGAACTCAATATTTTCCAAAATGGTTAGCCACTTGTGCTAACACCATTTATAGAGTTATTCTTTCCCCACTGATTTGAAATGCTACTTTGAGCATATTCATGGGACAGTTACATTACTCTATTTCTTCTTCCTTTATCAATATCGTACTGCCTATAAATTTTGGAGTCATCTGCTCAGGTTATAAGTAAAATTCTGGTTTTTTTGTGTGATTGCATTGAATTTATAGATTAATTGGGGAGAATCGATATTTTGACAGTATTTCATTTTCCTGTGTACAAAATATATTTATTTATTTATTAGAACCTTCATTTATTTCTTTCAATAAACTTATAATTTTCTCCATGAAATGTTTGCACTGTTTTTGATAGGTTTACTTCTGGGCAAAAGGAAATTTCTTTTTTTTTTTTTTTTTGGCAGTACTGGAACTCAGATCCCAAGGTTTCACACATCCAAGGCAAGTGCACCCCACTGAGCTACATCTCTAGTCCAGATTTACTTCTCGGTATTTTATAACTTTATTATACTATAAATGTATCCTTTTTAAATTTTAATAGATTATTATTTTGCATAATAAAATTAATTTTGCATGTTTATCTTCCACCCATTCTATGTTAAACTCTAATTGGATCCAAGGGTATGAAGGTTTTGTTTTTAGATTTTTTAGCCAGATAGTCACATCTTTTTCAAAAAGTAAAAATTTTGTCTTTATCTTCCAAATATTGACTCCTACAGCAGGGGATCATTTCTCACTCCTGACTTTAATGGAGCAGGGCCTAATGTTTCACAATTAAATATGTCTGTGGTTGGTTTCTGGAAGATATTATTAGATGGCTATTACTATAAAATAGTTTATTTCTCTCCTTGTTTCCCTAAGACTTTATTATTACTATGAATGAATGTTGAATTTTACTGAATTATTCTTCTGCATGTACTCAAAAAATCATGTGGTTTTATTCCTTTACTTGGGTCATGGGTGAATTACATGGGTAGCTTTCCTATGGTGAAAGAAACTTTTATTCTTAAAATAAATCACACTTATTACTCAGAAATAGAGAAGAATTAAATTATGGCATTTGGAAGTAAATGAATAGAACTGGAGAGTATCATGCTAAGTGAAATAAGCCAATCCCCCAAAACCAAAGGCAGAATGTTCTGTCTGATATGTCTATGCTGACTGACAATAGGCATGGGGGAAGGAAGAGTGGAGGTTCAGCAAACCAGACAGGGGGAAGTGGGAGGAAGGTAAGGGGGGGTGTGAGTGGGAAAGACAGTAAATTGAATGGGACTTAATTTTCCTATGTTCACATATGAATACACAACCAGTGTAACTCCACATCATGTACATCCACAAGAATGGGGAGTTATACTCTATGTATGTATGACATGTCAAAATACATTGTACTGTCATGTATAACTAAAAAGAACAAATAAAAAAATCTTGAAAAAAAACCACACTTGATTATGATGACCCATTCTTTAATATACACTCAATTTGATTTACTAATATTTTATCCAGGGATTTTGGTCTTTAATAAATTATATTGGCCTATAGCCTTCTACTTTTATGGTGTCTTTGTTTGGTTTCAGTATCAAGGTTATGCTTTGCTAATAAATGAGATTCATGGATTCTCATCTTTTTCTATTCTCAAACTTTTTAGATGAAATGAAAATTATGTATTAATTGAAGTGTTGGTAGAACTCACCTGGTAGAATTTATTTGCCTTGTACTTTTGGGGAATAGGAAGATTCATGGAAAATTATTCAATATCTTCTCTGGTTATTGCATTATCCAGATTTTCAGCTTCTTCTGAGGCCAATTTCTCTTATTAAAGTTTTCCTAGAAGCCTGTCAACCAGTTCAGAATTTTTCAATTTCAGTGTTATTGACATTTCATTCTGGTTGCTTCTTGGTTGTGGGAAGCTGTCCTGTGTGTTGTCGGATGTGCAGCAGCCGCAGCAGCAGCAGCACTGGTTTCTACCAACTATGTCAGTAGCAATCCCCCCAGTGCACACATTTGTGACAATTAAAATATCTCCAGGTATTGCACAATATCCTCAGGAGGTCAAAATTTACCGACATGGATTAAGGCAAATGTTTTCAGACTCCTTCATATCTGATCTAAATCAGAATTATTTGCCTTTTATATTCTTTATGGACTTTGTTTGTGCCTTGTCTCTTTTTTAAATAAGATGAACATGCCAAGAAATATCTCTATTTTATTAGTCTTTTACCAGACCAGCTCTTAGTTCTATAGATCAATTATACTTTTACTTTTGCATACCTTTTTAACTTAATAAGTGTTAAAATTTTAAGAAATTTTATTACAAAAAAGAGTATAAAATACAATGAAACTCACCACCTAACTAAAACAATTATTACCTCTTAGCTAATCTTGTTTCTTTGATCTACACAGGTTCTCCTTCCTATCATTCTTACACAAACCCCAAATTTAATATCCTTTCATCCATAAATATCAAGAACCTGTAAAAGATAAGACAACAATTTTATTAAACAGAACACACTACCCTTACTACACCTAAAATAAAATTCCTTAATATTATCAAATATCTCTTCATAAATGTGTTTGTCTCTGAGTGGCAGAGAGAGACAGAAAGAGATGTATATTTATAGAATCAGAATTTAATAAGGTCTGTGCACTGCATTCAATTGATATGTTCTCTAGCTCTTGAAGTCTCTTTTTTTTTTTAAATTTTTACTTGTAGATGGACACAATGCCTTTATTTTATCTATTTATTTTTATGTGGTCCAGAGAATCAAACCCAGTGCCTCACTTGTGCTAGGCAAGCGCTCCACCACCGAGCTATGTACAACTCTAGCCCTTGAAGTCTCTTGAGCCATAGATTTCCTGTCTTCTCTTTCCTTTTTTCCTTGCAGTTTGTTGAAGAAATCAGGTTAGTCGTCCTGTAGAATTTCCTCATTTAGACTTTGTGATTGCTTTCCCATGGTATCATTTACTGCATTTTTGTCTTCAAAACTTCCTACAAATTGATACTTCCCCTTAGAGGCTTAATCACATTCAGGTTCAGGTTTATCAGCTTCACGGCCCATAGCTTGTGTGAAGTTCTGTCCAGGAGGGACGTGGTGTGTGGTGGTCTCTCAGTAGCCATACACCTTAATTAATGAAGGACTGCAAAACAGTAGTATCCCATCATTCTATGTTCATTTATTAGTTGTCAGTCTTTTATAAAGAAAATCCCTTTCATTTACTATTTGGCACCTGAGGCACAGATTCTGCAGGATGGGCAAGATAAATGCTTTTCTTTCCCTTAATTTATTGCTTTTCAAAACAATGGATTTGTTCCCTATCACCTTTAAAGTGTGATCATATTTGGAATATTATCATAAAAATATATTTAAACATTTGAAACATTTCGGTGCATTACAATATTCTCCCTGTTGGTGCTGGTTCTAGTGGTGTGTGAAAGCCTCCTTGCTTTGTGAGAACATAAGTGCTGGAGGATCTGCTAGGACATTTCCAGCCTCAGACTAGAACTCAGCCATTTCTCCTAGGTGTCCTTGTTCCTTTTAGTGTAAAATGGTATTTGGGAATAAAAATCTGGGCAGCATGATCCTTTCACTTCAAATTCATGAACATAGGATCCTTACTTAATCTCAACAACCAGTAACTCCTTTCCCCCACAGCTAAAATCCTGGTTCCCAAGGCAACAAACAAACCACTCATTTATCCCACCATTATACAGATAATAATCTCAGAATACCAACCAGGCTTACAGTACCAAAAATATGGTTACTATGAAGAATGTAAGATTCTTCTGCAGATATTGCAGGTTATTATCCTTATCTTTGGAGGTATCCTATTACCATATCCATTAATGTTGCTGTGTTTTAAATTTATTTTCTGGGTGAAAACCTGGATACATAGGCTTATCTGTTTCATTTTGCTTTGGAAATTTAACTGTTTTTTTTAAAAAATGATTTCACAATTGTGAAATATATTTATGTGGTTCCAATACAAATGTGCAGAAAAAAGCATATGTAAAGAAGTGCAACTATTACCACTGTACTTCATGCCATTGTTCCTATTCCCATAGGTAATGATTTCTCTTAGGCTTCCCTTTGCTTTTGAACATAAAAATATACACACACTTATATTTCTAGCTTTTCCCTTCTTACATATGTGGTATCATACATACTTTTCTCCACTTTCCTGTGTGTGTTTTTTTGTTGTTTTGCAGTAGTGGAGTTGAACCCAGGGCCTTGCACATCTGTGGCAAGCACTTAGCTGCAAGTCCAGTCCATTTTTTAAAATTGTATATTGAGACGGGCTCTCACTAAGTTGCCTTAGTGAGACTTTGAACTTCTAATCTTCCTGCCTCAGCCTCCTGAGTGCTCAGTTTGCAGGCATGAACAACATGCCTGACCACGTTGCTTTTATTAAATGAACAATACATCCCGGGGATCATTTCATTACAGTATTAGGAAATATTCTACATTCTTTTTTTCTCTCTCTGTCTCTCTGTAAATAGGGATTGAACCCAGGAGCCCTTTACCACTGAGCTACATCCCCAGTGCTTTTCCTTTTTTAATTTTTAAATTTGGAAACAGGGTCTTAATGAGTTGCTGAGGCTGGGTTTGAACCTGCAATTCTCTAGCCTCAGCCTCTGGAGTCACTGGGATTACAGGGGTGCACCACTGTGCCTGGCTACATTCATTTTCAAAGCTGCACAGTACTTCACTCTGAGGCTGTACTAATCCTTTGTTTATGGAATATTCAGTTTGTTTCTAGTCTTATACTATCATTAAGAATCCTGCAAAATATAGCCTTGAACATATCTCTAGTCTATTCTGATATCTTTCTTTTAACTGATGCATTAAATCTGTTTAAATATGTTATTATTATGGTTTGGATCTTTGGTGTCTCCCAGGAGCTCATGTGTAAGACAGAATGCAAGAACGTTTAGAGGTAAAATGATTGGATTAAGAAAGCTGTAACCTAAACAGTGCATTAATCCTCTGCTGGGGATTAATTGGATGGTAACTTGCAGGAAGCCATCTGTGAATTACTTGAGGGTCACCTCTGTATGATGGCCAGGGAGATGTGGGTTTGTAATTGTGAAATATCTGTGGCTCTTCCGTGACAATAGATTGCCCAATGCATGTGACATTTATCTCCGCTCTGCTAAGAAGATACCTCATAGTAGCTCCAGAGATGGATATAACCTGTTTGGAGCTGGACAGACCACTTTCAACATTTTTTGGTGAAGAACATTCCTTGAAAGGCCTTTGATGTTTTGCGATATGAATATAGCAGGCCAGGGCTCCATTTTGTCATTAATCTAGAAGCTAGATCCATCTTATCAGCTTGCCCGGCCCGCCCCTGCTTTTGAAATCATTTTCTGTGTCCTGTGGTTTTTTCGCCCTATTTTTCCTAGCTTTTATTCCTCAGCCAGCCCATTCCACTGAGGGGAGCCCCATTTCCACCACCTGCATGGATGCAGGTAAGAGTAACTGCAGGCCAGAAGGGTGTGTCTGGAGAAGTCTGGTCACTGGGGGCATGTGTTTAGGACATATACTTTGTACCTTGTGAGTGGAGTTGTTCTCTCTGTTCCTGGTGGTCATGTCCTGAGACCCTTCCCTCCATCACACTCTTCCACCATGATGTTCTGCCACACCTCTGGCACAGAGCAATGGATTAGGACACCTATAGACTGAGACCTCTGAAGCCATGAGACCCAAATAAACTTTTCCTCCTCTAAAATTGTTCTTGTCAGGATCTTGTCAGAGTGGCAAATACTCTAAGACAATTATGATTGCCACTTTGGGAGGATTGTTTGGTGTTTTCTTTTAATCAATCTTCCCCTTCCTTCCTTCTTAAGTTGATAATGCTTTTTATTTGGCTTTTTATTCCTTGTCCTTACTTAGAATATAGTTTGCATTTCTGCTCTCTTGCAGGTTGCCATGAGGGTATTTCTTTTTGTTTTGTATTGGGGATAGAACCCACGACAGAGTCTCTCTAAGTTGCCCAGTCTGGTCTCCAGCTTGAGATCCTCCTGCCTCAGCCTCCCAAGTTTCTTCTCCACTCTGCCCAGCCTGACCCTAGATTTTAATGTGTATACATAGCTATAAGGTGTTTTAACACATGTGAAACAACCTAGCATTTCTTATTGTTCTTTCAGACATGAAAAGTTTTATGATGTGTTTTTCAACTCACTAAACAATCTTTCCTCATCCTGCTCTTCTTTCCTGGAATTTTAATTTTATCTTTAATTTTAGTGTATGATTTTTCCTTGAATTGATCATGTACTTATGTTTGTCCAAATCCAGAGTTGTGTAATTCAAATACCCAAATAAAAATAAAAGATTTATAATGAACATCATGCCCCTAACCCTTTCTCATCTTTCTCATCGGTTCATATGAATAAATGCATGATATTCTAGAGGTCTGTTTTGAACTCTAGATTGAACCCAGGGAATCTTAACCACTGAACCATATCCCTAGCCCTTTTATTTACTTATTTATTTTAATTTTGAGACAGGGTCTCTCTGAGTTTCTTAGGGCCATGCTAAGTTGCTGAGACTGGTTTTGAACTTGCAATCTTCCTACCTTAGCCTCCAAAGCTGCTGGGAATAGTGACACTCTTTGTGGCCATGGATCTGCTTTCATCAACACTATCCCAATCTCACATGGCATAGCACAGAGCAAGACTCTATTTCCTGTAGTAAAGAGAGGGAATTAAGCTCAGGATTTGGCCCTGGAACTCACTCAGTGCTCAGCTGGTGGAAACTAACACTGGGCAGATCCTAATGGTCCCCATCCCTAGGCCTGCTTGCGGAAAGAGATTCTGGAACAGCCCCAGTAACAGGTAAAGACACACAGCTCCAGTCTCTTGAAATTCCATTCCATCTAGCATCACCTGTGGCTGGTTGCAGCTGTCTTGAGCCATGAGACCCTCTCAGCAATAGACAGACCATAGTAATGTGGCCCTTGGATCTTCCCCAGGGCTGTGATGGTCTTGATGGACTGTGAGTTAGGGTATGGTGCCAATTGACAGCATTGGTGGCCACAGGCATGGCCTAGGGGCCTGGGTCTGGTTCATCCAAGTTGACTCTGTGCAGAGCCAGGTAGAAGCATGTAGTACCTGACCAAAGTGTGGATGAGGTATCTGGGTGTACCTGGCCCCACTCCACAGAGAAGCTTGAAGAGATGCACTACTCTTCTATGTACTGCTGGTTCTTTCTGAACAACACAACTCTGGATTTGGAAAAACCTGGCCTTGGACCTCTGTCTACTGCAGAAATATTGATAATGCACCAAGGGCACACTCTTACCAAGCATGACCCACATTCCATCCAGCCCCCAAATAGTGGAAGTGCCTACAGGCTCAGAAATAGGCAGCCTGGTTAGAACTTCTGGAGAGAAAGGCACAAAGCCAGATTAGGAATAGTGGGAAAAATATCTAAACTCTTAATGCCCAGAGGATGTTGGCTACCAGTAAGAATTAAGAGCCTTCAGGGATTCATGGTCTAACCTAACAGTCGAAGTAGGTGCCAGAGAGTATTAGTACAAGAACATTTCAGATGAGAATTTGTATCATTTAAAGGAGATTCAATGAGATTAAAGAAAACACAGGGAAATGCTACAATACTCTGAGATATTTAACAAAGTGATAAATGGATAAGTAAAATATGGTTCATATACACAACGGAGTACCATTCAGTCATGAAAAGGATGAAATCCTGTTGAGTGCCATGTGACCACACTTGTGAAATTTTAAAGAAGTGACCTCTTCTAGACCATAGATTGGCCAGTAAAATAGGGGCATAAATGGAGGCAGATGATTTTCACTAGGGCTATTATTTGTGAGAAACATCCAGCATACCAGCAGGGCGGGGAAGAGAGGTTGATAGGGTAATGTTGTAACCAAGAAAGTAAAGGATGGAGAGAGGAAAAGTGGACGCTGATTCAGAGGCAACTGGAAAATGTTTTCTGCCAAGTGTCGATGATTAATGGGTTTAAGGTTTCCCAGAACTATCCTGGATTCCATTTATGATGTTCTTAAAGATGGGGGCAAGGGTGGGATAACCCAAGAATGTACCTCCTGTAGTCCTGGATTTCTTCCTTTCTGTTTTCCTTTTGGATTTGAAATTTTCACTGTGGTAAAATGGATATGCCATAGAGTATGCCAGGTTTCATAGTTCAAGTGTAAAATTCAGTGCCAAAATTCCATCCAGAATGAAATTATGGCACTGAATTTGTTGTGAGCCCATCATGGCAATCTATTGCTAGAATGTTTCATCACCTCATATACAGAAACCATGGATCAAAGAAGATTCCAAGATGGTGGGCCAGAGGGAGGCAGCATTCTGTTTCATGCCCTGACCCAGATCTCACCTAGTCAGAATAGTGCATCTCAGAGAGTGTAAGAGGAACCATATACAGCTGATTTCCACAGAAATCACCAGCGCTGTGACCCCGACGCAGGGCTCAGAACCTCAGCGTTTGAGTAGGACTCCAGAAACTGTGCACCCACTAATCAGAAATAAAGTGTGATATCAAGTGCATGAAGTGTATGGGGGGTGAGGAATGAAAATGTGGAGTGTTGTATGTGAAATCAAATTATTGTGATGCTAAAATAGAATATTAAAACTATAAGGTGCTTTATGCAAACTCCATCCTAACCACAAATGAAAAACCACTAGTAGATTCACAAAAGAGAAAGGAGGAATGACATGACTACAAAATTATATCTTTATTTATATATATATATAAAGCAAAAGTATGAGAAAGACACTCCAAAAAAAAAAAACTAAGAAAAAAATAAACAAAAAAGCAATAGTAAAGGCTTACCTATTGATATTTACTTTAAATGTAAGTAGACAACATTCTCCAATCACAAGACATGGGGTGGCTCAATGGATTAAGAGAAGAAAAGCAAGACTGAACTCCATGTGGCCTACAACAAACTCCTGTTGCCATTAAGGACACATAGAGACCAAGAATGAAGAGATGGAAAAGGTAACCCATGCAAATTGAAGCCAAAAGAGTACAAGGGAAGCTGTATTAACATCAGACAAAATAGACTGTAAATGAAAATCTGTCAGAGGAGGTAAAGAAGGTCATCATATAATGATAAAGGGGTCATTTCATCAAGAAGATATAACAACTGTCCACATCTATTTATATCTCCAACATCAGGACACCTCTATAAGCAAATATTAACAGAAGTGAAGAGAGAGACAAATAGCAGTGACTTAAGAGCAGGGAACTTTGTCTTATTCTGTTAGGCTGCATAACAAAATACCTTGGCCTCAGTAATGTATAAAGGAGACAAATTGATTTCTCACAGTGGTACAAGCTGGAAAGTCTAAAGTGAGAGCATTGGGAGACTTGGTGTCTGGGGAAGGCTCTCTCTGCTTCATAGATGATACACTACAGGTGCATCCTCACATAGCAAAAGAGACAAGCAGGCCCCCTCAAGCCCTCTTAGAGGTCACTAATCCCATCTGTGATGGTGGAGTTCTCATGATTCAATGTCCTGAAGACTTCACCTCTTTTTTTTTTTTGTAACCTCTGAAACTGTTTTACATGGATTCCATTTCAACATGAGATTTGGAAGGACATAAACATTCCAATCATAGCCGACCTCAACAATCTTACTTTCAACAACTACAGATCATCCAAACCCAGCACCAATATGGAAACCTTGGACTGGAACTGTGCTTTAAACAAAATGTACTTTAAACAAAATGTGCTTTAAACAAAATGTGTCTAACAGACATAGTCAGGACATTCTATTCAAATGCAATGGAACACACAACTCCTTTCAATCACACACGGACCATTCTCCAGGATAGATCATATGTTAAGCCACAAAAATGTCTTAACAAATTTGAGAAGACAGAAATTGTATTAAGCCTCAATTCCAACCATGGTGGAATAAAACTGGATATCACAAACAGGAGTAATTGGGAAGAATTCACAAATATAAGCAACTTAAAAAAATATGCTCCCAATAAAACATTGGTCAAAGTAGAAATTAAAAGAGACGTTCCTGGGTATGGAGGGGCACACTTGTAGTCCCAGAGGCTTGGAAGGCTGAGGCTGGAGGATAGCAAGTTCAAACCCAGCCTCAGCAACTTGGCAAGGCCCTCAGCAACTCAGTGAGACACTACTTCAAATTTTAAAATAAAAGTGATAGGGATGTGGCTGAATTGTTCAATCCCCCTGGGTTCTATCCCTGAACAAAAAACAATTGTTAAAAATACTTTTGGATATATACAAACACAACATAAGAAACCCTACGTGTTGTAGCAGTTCTATGAGGGAAGTTCATAGCAATAAACACCCACATCATAAAAGAGGAGAGATCTCAAATCAACACCCTAACACTGCAACTCAAGAAACCTAAGAAAGAATTACAAACCAAACTCAAAGATAGTTGAAGGAAGGATTCAATTAAGATCACAGCAGTAAACAATGAAATCAAAATAGAAAATCATGCAAAAGATCCACAAAGATAAGAATTGGTCTACTGACTAGAATTTTTTTAAAAAAAGATTGACCTTTAGCTAGACTAACCCAGAAAACATAAAAGACTCAAAGAAAATCAGAAAGGAAAACGTGGCATTACAACTAATATCACAAAAACAACAATTATAAGCTTCAAAACTTGAAATATTTGAGTAAATTCCTAGAATCATAGAACCTACTTTGACTGAATCCTGAATAAAAGTAGAATAGTTGAGCAGACCAATCACAAGTAATGACATGGACTCAGTAATAAAATCTCCTATCATTGGTAAGGAAGTGCACGTCTGTAATGCCAGCTACTCAGGAGGCTGAGACAGGAGGATCATAAGTTTGAGATCAGCCTCGGTAACTTAGTAAGATCCTGTCTCAACAATAAAAATGGCTAGGAAAGTAGCTAAATGATAGAGTGTCCATGGGTTCAATCACCAATACTGAAAAAACAAATAACTGAAAACATGTTCTCCTATCAAAGAAAAGTCCAGAAACACAAGTCAAAACCAAAATGAGGTCACCCACAATGGAGGGCTAGAGGGAGGCTGCATTGTGTGTGGCTCTGTGAGCTGGGATTCAAGTAGTGGGAATACTGTTCCTCTGAGAGTTATTCAAGGACCCCCGACAGCTGCTCCTACGCAAGACCTCCGGCTGCCATGCCCTAGCACGACCACCAGCATCAGCACCCATGCAGGACTTCTTACGACCTTGCCTGCATGAACACCCATCTACCAACAAAGGGCTCCCCCAGTTGCCTCCACGTTCGGACACTGCAAACACTGCCATAGTCCCCTACCCATGGTATCCTGCACCTGGGGGTCACCAGACAGGGTCTGGAGACAACTTCTAGCCACAACACTGCACACCACAGAGCTGCTTCTCTGAACACATCTCCCAAAGCCTTTACCTGGCCTGACCCAACCCAACACCCCATCTCTGCAACCAGCCACTTCCATCTTGAGATACCTTTGCTACCAACTCCCAGCTTGGGACACTGGCTGGGGCCTAGAAGCAATATCAAGGTATTTATAGTCCCCAACTCCACAGCCACTAACCCGGCACAGTGCTTGTAGCTATGTGGACAGCCAATCAATAGGTCACTATGCCTGCTCCTGACCTGCCCAATACAAAACAGCTCTCCTTGACAGGTGTGCAGCCCCCAGAGCTCAGCCCACAAGACCACTGGAGAGAG